TTTAAAAAAAAAAAAAAAAAAAAAAAAATTGTTATGACTTTTTTTTAAATATTAAGCCAAAATTTTATCAATAAACATAAATAAATGTTAATTAAAAATTTACTAAAATAAGAATTAATTAAAAAAAAGGGTTATAGTTACATAAAATTTTTAAAAAACTTATAACAAGAAATTATACAAACTCCCACAATGACACAGACAGTAGTAGAATTTATAAATACAGCAACAAAGCTTATACCTGATTTTGATGGCAAATCAGAAAATTTACGTTCATTCCTTGAGGCACTAACTCTGGTTGATGCGATAAAAGGCGAACACGAGGCAATAGCCATTTCCTTAATTAAGACTAAACTTAAAGGAAATTCGAGAAATTTGATTGACAATGAAAATACAATTGCGGAAATCAGTACCAAACTACGCACCACCGTAAAAGGTGAGTCAGTAGAAGTAGTGACTGCAAAACTTATGAATATAAGACAAAGTAGCAAAACTGCTACAAATTACTGCAATGAAATAGAAACACTAACAAAATCATTAGAAAATGCATATATAAATGACGGCATAAACTTAAATTTGGCAAGTAAATATGCGACACAAGCAGCCGTAAGGCAATAACTAAAAATTGCACATTAGAAAAAGTCAAACTTATTATGGAAGCAGGTCAGTTTACTGACATGAATGAAGTAATAAGCAAATTTGTTGGAAGTTGTACAGAAGCTACAGGCCAACAAAATATACAAAATATACAATCTTAACCTTAACTTTAGCATTTACATACAAGTCAGAATTGTTCACACTAACACCGCCATAACACTACTAGTTGACACAGGAGCATACATTTCCATAATTAAACATGACCAAGATACACTTAAACACATAAACAAAAAACACATTACAACACTACAAGGCATTGGACAAGGAAACATCAATTCAATAGGCACAACATTTTTCGATTTAAAGTTTAAAAATTACTTAATACCACACGAGTTTCATGTAGTACAAAACGATTTCCCAATACCGTGTGATGGCATTATTGGAATGGACTTTATGAAAAAATACAATTGTCTACTTGAATTCAATGAGAATCAAGATTTCCTAACCCTCAGACCAGAAAAATTCCAAATGCACATTGAAATACCAATTATAACTACTTGTAACGATGACATAACACTCCCAGCTATGTCAGAAGTTATAAGAAGGGTGAAACTTTCTACTCCTTTTCAAGAAGTACTGATACCTAATCAAGAAATACAAACAGGTATATTCATTGCAAGTACCTTGGTAAAATCTGAAAATGCATTCATACGAATTCTTAACACAAATGACAGACCAGTAACGGTAAAACTAAACAGAATTCAATCAGAAAATCTCACTGACTATAACATAATTTCAAGTGATCAAAACAAAACAGAAAGAAAAAATAAAATTTTAGATACACTAAAGAAAAATTTTCCAAAACTATTTGAAAAAACGTTAACGGAATTATGTTCTAGGTACAGCGATATTTTTGGATTAGAAACAGAAGCAATCACATCAAACAATTTTTACACACAAAAGTTAAGGACAAAAGATACAGACCCAGTATACATTAAGAACTACCGTATACCACACACTCACAAAGAAGAAATTGAAAGACAAGTCTCAAAAATGTTAAAAGATGGAATAATAGAGCCATCATGTTCCGAATATAATAGTCCTATTTTATTAGTTCAGAAAAAATCACTTCCAAATTCAATTGAAAAAAGATGGAGGTTAGTAATAGATTACAGGCAGATTAACAAAAAATTAATAGCGGATAAATTCCCACTGCCAAGAATAGATGACATCCTAGACCAATTAGGTCGAGCTAAATATTTTTCTTGTTTGGATCTTATGTCAGGATTCCATCAAATACCACTAGAAACCAATTCACGAGACCTGACATCCTTTTCTACAAATAATGGATCCTACAGGTTTTCTAGACTCCCATACGGATTAAAAATTGCCCCTAATTCATTTCAAAGAATGATGACAATTGCGTTTAGCGGTTTAAAACCAGAACAAGCATTTCTCTATATGGACGACCTGGTAGTCCTGGGTTGCTCTGAGAAACACATGCTATCAAACCTATCGGATGTTTTTGAACTATGTCGCAAGCACAACTTAAAATTACATCCTGAAAAATGTTCATTTTTTATGCGCGAGGTGACTTATTTAGGACATAAGTGCACTGACAAAGGCATACTCCCCGACGACAAAAAATGTTCAGTAATTAAAAATTACCCTATACCTACAGATGCAGATAGTGCGAAAAGATTTGTAGCATTCTGTAACTACTACAGGAGGTTTATAAAAAATTTCTCTGAATACTCAAGACATCTCACTAGATTGTCAAAGAAAGGAGTACCTTTTCAGTGGACACTAGAATGTAATAATGCTTTCGAGCACCTTAAAAAGGCATTGATAAGT